GCGATTGGTCTGTAATTTGATATATCAGAAACTTTACCAGCTTTGAAAACGGGACAGATTCTAGATATTTTCCAAATGTCTGGATAGACCTCTTCTTGTAGTATACGATTAAATATGTAAAAGAGTGGTACTGACAAAAAACCCATATAATTTTTCACCAGTTTGGATGAAACATTATCAGGACCACAGGTTAACTTATTTTTTAATTTATTAACTGCGTTGATAATTTGATCTTGAGATATATAACTAATATGAAGAAAATTACTAGGATTTGTATCAACATCATCAAGTATCTCATCATCAGATCCATCACTAAACATGCTACCAAAGTGCCTGGCAAAAGCATTCACAATAGATTGGGGAGTGGTTAGGGTTTCGTTACTGTATGACATTTTCCCGGGAATCCTAGTTTTATTTTGTTTGGATTGAATATATGACCAAAAACGTCGGGGATTTAGTTTAATGTTATTTTCTGAATTTTGAATGAATCTATTATAACAGCAAGTTATATCACGTTTTACAATTAGTCTTAGGTTTTTATAACGTTGTAGATAAAAGAGAAGTTTATGTTTATTATACAATTTTAGAAAGTGTTGTTTTTTTTTTAAGCTAAGTATTAAATCACGAGAATACCAGATTGGGTATTTTCTAGTTTTAGTTGACTTTAGCGGAACACACTGAACAATAAGGGTCTGGATAATTTCATTAAATTTATTACATACCGAGTTCACATCAGGATGATGATTAAGCTGTTCCCACTGTACATTATTTAACAAGTTAGTAAATTTTTGGTTGTCCATTTTCCTAAAGTTGTAACGTTTTTTATTAGTAATAAATAATTTTTCATTTTCACAATTTATCTCCAAATTCACAATTAAAGCAGGATGGTGGTTGTCAATTAATACCAGGGGATGTAGGTTTTGAAAAACCTTACAAACTAGATTTTCAGGGCAAAGAACCAAATCCAGTATTCTATTGTTATAGTTTTTTACAAAATTATTCTGCTTCAGGTTACAGAAGTTAATTAATGAGTTATATCGAGAAACTAGGTTTGTAATTTGATGAAATTCATAATAATTTATCAGATCAGTTATATTAAAATCACCTAAGATTATTGAATTACCAATTTGATCAAAATTTTCAAAAAAATCAAACAATACATCATACTCTTCAAAAGTAGTAGCTGGAGGTAAGAAGAAGCAATTGGGGAGAATAGCTTTTTTGATGTGAGGACCTTTTTTTTTTTTAGAAGAGAAGCAATTGAGGTAGGGAGAATAGCTTTGAGGTAGGGAGAATAGCTTTTTGATGTGAGGACCTTCTTTTTTTTAGAAGAAGAAGCTAGAGAGAATAGCTTTTTGATGTGAGGACCTTTTTTTTTTTAGAAGAAGAAGTAATTGAAGTAGGGAGAATAGTTTTTTGTTTCACGGGGCCCGATCTAGAGAATTGTCCTGGGACCCGACCTGGCTCTCAGCGACCCTGGTTACTACTCATCTAAGAATTAACTTTTTATTGTTGCATTTTATATTTTAACATTTCATAATAAACAAGAGGTTTGGTTTAATTAGTCAATTTTTTCTTCAGACTTTAAATTTGCATTTTCTCATATTGACGCTTGCCGCGACTTTTTTTTTCCGTAAATTAGTCTTTTTAGGGACATATAAGGGACAGGTACCTGACATCTAATATACGATATGCCTGTATACCATATAATCTAGGATCAGTTTGAATTGTTATTTAAGGAATAAGTTTAGAAAATATTGTTTTGTAAAAATTACGATTTAATAATTTATAATTATAAACATTTAACATTTTTTATAATAATTATTATAAGGTGGGTACCTACCTATACCTACCTAAGTAAAATCTGCCTGACTCAATAGAGGTTAAAAATTAAATTTACTTAAAAGGTATAAAGTAGGTACTTAATCACATTCATATGTAACAAAAAATATATGAAAAAAAAAAAAAACTTGCAAGAGAAAAACAAAGATTTCGTTTAAAGGAGTTATACCATAGATAAATTAATATTAATTTATCTATGAGTTATACAGAGTGTTTCTAAATTCATGCGACAAAATTAAGGAGGTGATTTCTCGTATGAAATTAAGATGGGTCTTTCCTATAACAAAATTTCCTCAGCACACCTCTTTCTAAAATTTCAGTAAAGCTAGAAACTTGAAATTCTGTAATGTATTTTGGTTAGAGGTGGTCATTTCCAGCATTTATTATGAATCGTATTACATTTTACATTTTTATTGTTTTCCACTCAATTTATTAAAAAATTATAAATTATGGTGTATTTTTTTTTCTCAACAGCTATTGGTTTTGGGAAAAAAATTTAAGAATAAATTTTTTTTTTAAATAAAACAAGGATTTCAAGTTATAATTATTTTATTTCATAAAACTTCATCTCGAAAAAAGTTTTGACCCCCTATCATGTAACAGGAATATTGAAAATATACCCTTGGTTAGTCTTTGCGAGTGCACGAAAATTACAAAATTTCAAGTTTCTAGCTTTACTGAAATTTTAGAAAAAAAAAATAAAAACTCAATTTTAGTCACCAACTTTTTAAGGGTGATATTTCGGAAACGGGTGGGCTGAGGAATTTTTGTTATAGGAAAGGCCCATCTTAATTTCATACGAGCAATCGCCTCCTGAATTTTGTCGCATGAATTTAGAAACACCCTGTAACGTATCGTAATAATTATTATGTTAGGTTGCCCCTTATGTATTGTACAACCAGTATAGCAAACGTACAGTAACGCCATATTTGTCCAACAAATCGCCGTATTTGTCTAACAAATCGTAGTTATTGTCCAACAAATGTAATATGTGATACATAATTTACTGAAACGTAAAACTCTGCATCATTCTGTTTTTTATCTTTGGGTTGAAGAGCTAACAAAAAGGTCCTCGCACCTCTGGCGTGTAGAATTGGGTCAAACAGAAATATGGTCACTAGACTGGGCCAAAAAAATTGACTATTTTTTTTTTTTTTAAATATATCGAGAATGTCATTCAGAATGACAAAAAAACAATTTCGTGAAAAGTTAAGCCCTTAATATTAATTTTAAGAGGTCTATCGTCGCTATTTTTGATTTTTAGTCATAATTAGAACTGTCAAAAAATTATAATGCAAAAAGTCTTTATCACTTATTTTGATACAAAATTAAATTCTCTACAAAAAAGGTCTAATTTAAAATTTTTGTCAGACGAGCCGTTTCCGAGTAATTGAGCTTAATAAATCGATGTATTTTTTCGATTTGCCCTTTTTATTTTGAAATTCTGTAACTAATGAACCAATGAATATTTAAAAAAGCTCATGTCGGATTCTTCAAGGGAATCTCATGTTCTACAAAAAAGGTATCCCAACATTTTTGCCTAAATGCAATTTTTCAAAAGTTATTCACGATTGAAATCGAAGAAAAAATTGAAATTTTAAATTTTCCGTTCTTAACTCAATTTTTTTCACTTAACGGAAGAAATTCACTTTTTCGATCATTATTAAACATTATTCGTCACAAATCTCTCAATGTCTATCATTATTTCAACCAAATTATTACGAAAATATATCAATTTCACAATAAATATCAATAATTTTTCAACAAAAGCGTAGTTTTCTTATCTTTAAGTAATTTTTGGGTAAACAATTATTTAGTTTCATTATTGAAAATGATTTTTTGTAGAACGTGAAATTCCCTTGAAGAATCCGACATGAGCTTTTTTAAATATTCATTGGTTCATTAGTTACATAATTTCAAAATAAAAAGGGCAAATCGAAAAAATACATCGATTTATTAAGCTCAATTAATCGGAAACGGCTCGTCTGACAAAAATTTTCAATCAGACCTTTTTTGTAGAGAATTTAATTTTGTATTAAAATAAGTGATAAAGAATTTTTGCATTCTAATTTTTTGACAGTTCTAACGTAAAACATCAAATTATGACTAAAAATCAAAAATAGCGACGATAGACCTCTTAAAATTAATATTGAGGGCTTAAATTTTCACGAAATTTTGTTTTTGTCATTCTGAATGACATTCTGGATATATTTTTCAAAAAAAAAATATTCAATTTTTTTGGCCCAGTCTAATGGTCACCCTACCTTATGTCCAGAAAAAAAAGTAGTTGGTGAGCGTCGTGGAAGAATGATCAGTCGATTTGAGAATATGCAAATTTAAAGGTCCAAGAAAAATTGGTTAATTAAATCTTGTGGAACCCCCTTTAGGTATTCGCCTTAACAAATACGAGCCACGAATATTTACTCAAACTACAAGGAAGACGGCAGCACGTCGACGCCGAAGGACATACAGAATTTGAAGCTCCATGTCCGAGGTCGGACGTAGAGAATGCACAGCTACAAATCTGATATCGGACAGGGAGCCACTGCCTTCCTAATAACTTTTTTGGCTCATTTTATATCTGTATTAGAATACCCTCGAGAATACCTAAGTGTGTAAAAATCTTCATCTTATTACTACACAAAACAAACACCAAAAAATATCACTTAACATTGCTCTCGTACTAAATACAACTTGGACTGACTTTGACAGATAACATAATTTTGAGTGATACACAACTTATTTTCGCACATGCGCGTTACAAAACGGTACACTGAAAACACCAAGCTATCGCTTCTCCTTGATCAGTATTCTCGGATAAAACTATAAAAGAAAATATTTACGTTAACTATATTTGACAACTGATTACAAGTTTTTGATATTCTACGGAGGGGAGCACTTAAATAGTAGTTGGTTGCTGCATTGTTAACAAAAAATGTATTAATATTGTTACGCAGCACCCTGCAGTAGCCTGTGGCTGTCATAGGAAACGTACAAGTAAAAGAAAATTTCAGCAATAATATTATTCATTAATCTTACTCTTTCGTCTGTACAAAGAGCTGTTCCCAGTCTGTAATTTGAAGTCGATTTGGCAATGTACACTTATATTCTGTTTTTTCTAATTATAGCTCTAGCTAAACACCGAAGTTGTCTTTGTCCTAGACTAAAATTAGAACCCCCTTCTATCATCGTGCTATCTAGTCCATCAGGAAGTTCACAAACAGCATTCTTAAGTTCAACAATCTCCAATACATTCCAAAATATCTCATCATCAAATTCATCAAATGGATCCAACTTTTTCCTTAAAGTACCAGAAAATAATACTGGCTCTTGTGGTATTATTGAAATCTTAGATCGTAGATGTTTTAGTTTAATAGTTTTGCTGTCCAATTCATCAATGTATATAACTTCCTCAAAATCCATTATCCCAAATGGTTCTTGGATTATTGAAGACTTTCCAGCTCCCGTTCTTCCTACTATACCCACTTTTTCCCCAGATTGTACTTCAAAATTCAAATTATTCAGTACTTACGAACTGTCTCGGGTATATTTAAGAGATACATTTTTAAAAACAACGTTTCCCGATTGAGGCCAACTTTTGATAGGTTTAATCCTGTGTTCGTCAATTTCTGTCGACAACTCCGTTTACCCTTGAACCCTCTCTACAGATGTCATCTGATTTTCCAGCTCAGACTATTGTCTGATACCCCATTGGAACATTCCAGCCAGAGTCACAGCTTGGGTTAAGGACAGACAAACGTTACCTCCAAAGGATTCTCCTTGAATAAATAACAAACTGATAATAACTAATGCAATGTAAAATATGTCAAGCCAAAAACCAAATCCTCGACTGGCTGTCATAAATAGATACGAGGTAGCTGTATAATTGTCTTGTAAAGCGTCAAATTCTTTGCAAATAATTTCTTCTGCTCCAAAAGCTGGAATTGTAGTGATACCTTGTAGGGACGCTGTTAAGTGCGTAAATATTGGACTCCTTGTAATAGCTTCGACCCGCTTCATATTCCTGCTAGATTTTAGAAAAGCATTTTTAATATTATACATTATTGTAAATATTACAAAAGTTGGAATCATAATCCAGGGATTTACTAACGCGATAACTATCGTAATACCCGAAATCGTCAGACCAATCGCAATAGTATCCACCATACACAATGGCACAGTTTCATCCACTCATCCAATATCTTTTGAAAATCTATTTAAAATTCTGCCTGATGGATTGGCATTAAAAAACGATATTGGCGAATGTAGTACTTTCTTGAACATGCTATTATGTAGTCGAACCGAGGATCTTAAAGAGTACTTGAAAAACGAAACAGCTCTTGTAATGGCGAATATTACAACTAGTATTATCAAGAAAGTGTAAGTCAGTAAACTGTATTCGTGAAAAAATACTGATCTGGTTTTTGCTTGCTTCGAATTTACCCAAGCCGTTAGAAAAACATCCGTGCAACTCCCAAACACCTGAGCCAGTAAAAATCCCGAAAACACTATAATTGTTTTCGTCCAATGTCCTCCAGCAGTCATATAACTCTTGTAAACCTTTCTAGAAATAATCTCTCTTTTGGTCTTCCTCCTCTGCCGATCCTGGCAAACCGATAAATGTTTTATTAGACCATCTTCTAGCAGGTAAATAGAATTGGCCGAGTGCAGGTAATGTATTTGGTGTGTTACCGGAACTATACATTTGCTTTTCAAGTATCCAAGAATGCAGTTATTGAATAATTGTTTACCCACTAAAACATCAACAGCTGATAAAGGATCATCTAATAAATAAATATCTGCATCTTCATACACAGCTCTAGCTAAATTGATTCTAGCTTTCTGCCCACCACTTAGAGTAGCACCTTTATCGCCTACTACTGTTCGGTCGCCATAGAGCAAATTTGAAAAATCTTTATCAACAGCGCATACTTTAATTACTTTGCGATATTTTTCTGCATCAAACACTTGCCCAAAAATTATATTTTGCCTAATACTACCACCAAAAACCCACGGTTCCTGGGATGCATAGGAAATGCTACCGTTAACTTTCAATTCACCACGTAAAGGTACGACTTCCTTTAAAATTACATAAAGTAACGTTGATTTTCCTCTACCTACAGGTTCTATTAAAGCCACAAGTTGATTAGAACCAGCTTCAAAATTAACGTTTTTTAGAAGATGATCTGGAGCAGAAAGTATCCATTTGATAGCTACGTTTCTAATAAGAATTCCCACTTCTGAATCTTCATGTTGCGCTTGAATACTCTTCACGTGAGATAAGCTTTCACATAGATTCAAATGTCTATTGTCTGAATCTACTTCTTCAATTAAAAGGAATGATTGTATTTTGCTAATGGAAATTCTTGCTTCTGCAACTTGAATGACAGCTTGTGGAAATAACAAGATAACTGAATTTCTCAAAAACGAGTAAAATTATACGCCAGTAAACACAAAATAAGCATTTACATTGTATCCTGATAGAATGATAGTAAATACGCATAAATATACAGCCAATCTACTTAAGATAGTACTAAACGAAAACATGGTAGCTCGTATCATCGAAATATGTTGTATCTGTGTTATTTCTAACTTTCGGATTCTATCAACTAAAAGCTCAAATGGTTCTTCCCATGTATACATTTTAATTACTTGAATTCCTCTATTTCTGCTAGCCTACCGAAGTTCTGAACATGAAACGACCAGTTATACCCCATCCATGATGATTACTAGAAGGGAGATAAAACTTCCCCATGATCTTCTTTTTGGAAGGCAGCCTTCTGGTGAAGAAGAGATGCGTACTCCTCCCACGTACATACAGAACTTAAAAGAAAGATTAGAGAAGGTATACGAATTCGCTCGTCAACGTTTGAAAGTTAATAGCGATAAAGCAAAAGCTAGAATCGACGTGCATGCCACAGGAACCCATTTTGAGAGAGGCGATCCAGTATGGCTGTACAATCCCAAGCGCCGAAAGGACTTTATCAAAAGCTGCAACGAAACTGAGAAGGCCCCACACCATCCTCAAGAAAATCAACAACCTGGGGCCCTATTCCCGAATGTCTATTTTTAAATGCCACACGCGACATTGATGAAATGTCGAATAAGAACGCAAAAATGTATTCTGGAATGGCGAATTCGACATTTGTTGTTAGACATAAAGTCGAGTGGTATACAACCATTTGACATTGTAATGTCGCATGCCTTTTTAAATATGATGTTATAATATGAGTGTCGTGACAGTGACAATTTATATTTATTTTTAAGAAAATTGAAAATAAGTATTGTACAAATTGTTTTTAAAAATATATGAAATGGTTATTTACAATTTTACCTAATTTATCAATTATTAGTCCTGTCCAGTGTCCAATTGGGCCGTTGGTTCACAGGCAAAAGACCGGTAGGCCTTCGTTCAAGCTGTGGGCCCTCTTTTAGGTAGTGGGCTCTCTTTCAGGCAGTGGGCCCTCTTTCAGGCAGTGGGTCCTCGTTTGGACAGTGGGTCCTCGGTCGGGCACTGTGCCACAATCAGTGGGCCTCATTCAGTAGGCCTAAGTTAGTGGACCTCAGTCTGTGTGCCCTTGAGAATTAGAAAGCGAAATAACCCTTAAAAAAAGCATCAATGTGCAAAGAAGGCCTTTTTTGCTTCTCAAGAAATCGGCCCATGAAAAAATATTGATAGGTGGGCCTTGTCCGTTCAGACCGGTAGGCATTGGAAGTCCCGATCCGACACTGCTCCTGTTTGTCCAAGAGATTTAAAACCTGTCATTAAGAAATTTATATAGCTCTATTTTTTCAAATTGCAGGTAAAAAGATTATATCACAGACATTTTATATAAGGTTTAGATTGTATTACAATAATATATTTCTTCTTCTTTCTGTTTAATCTCTTATCAAATTGCACTTCCAATTTTTTATTTAATCCCTCATACAATTTCAGTTAAAAAGATTATATTTATATTTTCCCTACTTTCTAATTAGTATTTACCAAAAAGATATATATTCTGGATGTATTTTTAGTATTATTTTGTATTACTCAGAGATTCTACAAGTAATTATTGGGCAGTATTTATAAAAAAAAAGGTTATGCTTATACTTGGAGAATATAAAGGAAATCTTTCATCTCGCATTCATAATATTCCGAGTAAAATCTTATACTTATAGAGTATGAGCAAATCCTTCACAAAAAGTATTTGGTTATTCATAAACGTTACCTTTTACTCTAACTAAAAAGGATATCCTTCAATAATTTCGAGTGTGGTCAGTAGCAGACTCACATGAGTCGTGTAGTGATCAGTTGTAGCGATGGCAGATACTGTGGAATTAAGAGTGATTAAACACTACAAGCAGCGTTTATCAACAACTGTTCGTGATTACAAAGAATTATACCGGTTTGAAGAGGGAAATGTGCAATGGCTTGCTAACAGATTTTTGGGAATAAATGCTGAAACTCGAGGAGGTGCGTTATCATCCGTCCTTAAAATGCAGATATGTTTACGCTATCTCAGTGACCCTGGATATCAGAAAAGCATTGGTCAAGAACTGGGTGTGAGTCAAGCTACAGTATCTCGTATAGTAACTACCGTAATTGACAGCATAGTGGCGCAATCAAATGACTGGATAAAGTTTCCGACTAACAAAAATGAATTTATGATAGCGAAACAGTTATGGCAAAACAAGTATAGGTTTCCCACAGCAATTGGCGCAGTTGACTGTACCCACGTAGGAATTCTAAAACCAAATCGACATGGTGATGAGTATGTCAACCGAAAAGGTCATCCAACACTGAATGTGCAAGCCACTTGTGATGCAAGAGAAATGTTCACTAGTATAGACGTTAGTTGGCCTGGATCGGTCCATGATTCAAGAATATGGAGAAATTCACAAATAAGGGTTCATTTACAAAATAAAACCAACATCGTGCTACTTGCTGATGATGGATATGGTATAGAGCCGTGGCTCATGACTCCATTCAGAAATCCCACTCCAGGTGCTGAACTAAATTATAATAAACTTTTGAAAAAAGAGAGAGTGATAATTGAACGTTGTTTTGGTCAACTGAAACGTCGATTTCCTATTTTACAACATGTTTGCCGAGTGAAATTGGAGAATGTGCCAAAAATAATTGTTGCCTGTACTGTGCTTCATAATGTGGCAAAAACTTTGAAAGACATCGATTTTGAAGCACCTGAAGAAGAAATGCCAGAAGAAGATGACAATGATATTAATAGCGACGTTGAGCTACTTCTTCGCCAACGGGGACAAGAAGTGAGAAGTAATTTGAGCATTGTAATAAACAACTTTGACAATTAAATTTAGGTACTGTATAAAATAAAAGTTTAAATTTAATTTAGTTTTATTATTTACGCCATTAGATCATTTTGGTTTTTAAAAAACAAAATTCAAATAAATATTAAGTTTATTTAATAACGCAAACTTTTTATTTTTATTTTATTGCAAATTTTTTAATAATAAAAATTAACCATTCTTTTACATTTTAAATCCTTATAATCTAAGTATACTGGATTTTTTAAAGAAACTAGATATCTTACAAAAATAATAATAATAATAATAAGTTACTTAACATAATATTATTATAACAACATATTATAATATTAACGATATAATACGCTGTACAGGAAAATTTGGTAAATTGTTTACATATTGTAGTATGATAACTTCCCCTTTGTTAACAATATTTGTTTCTGGTGCCTCACGCGTCATCCTCTGCAACTTTTTTTCATAGTATTCTCTTTGAATTTTAGTTGTTTGATACTGCTCTAAAAGAACTAGCCGTTGAAGCTCTTTGGTTGTGAGTCCTTTCGTTTCATTGGTTTCGTACTTTTCTATTGGTGTTTTTTTTCTTGTTGGCAGAGGAGATTCGACAGTCTTGGTACTACTAGATTGTGGTTTGATGGCTGTTTCAGTCTCTTTTCGCGTAGTAGAAGCTTCACTTACTCTATGCTGAGTAGATCCATCTTTAATACCAACTTGCAGTGCGCCTCCGATTTTTCCAATTGTAGGATTACTGTCGCCCTCCATAGCCTTCAATAACTTTTTCTCCCATTCCAACAGTTTGATTGGTTTATTTCCAGTTTTATTCAAGTCTGTTTTTATCTTTAACCTTTCTTTCATATTGTTTATTTTCTTTAAAAAGCCTTTTGAATCCAGTGCTTTACCAAATGTTACCTCGTACTTCCTGGTAACATTTCTAATAGCCTCATCCTTTCTAGCTTTTATTTTTGGTGTTTGGGATTTTTCCAAAATTACGGGGGTATTGGCAATTTCATTTGCTATAAACTGCAGTTCGGTTGTAGCATTATCTTTTTCTGTACTTTCACTATCGCTGCTTGACGAATACATCTTCTCTGATCGAAGTATACTGCACTTATTAAATTAAATTAACTCCGATAAGAAAGAAATACCGTAAATAAACAAACCATCGAAAACAGGTTTTAATCTGCCGCGGCACGCACAATCTTTTACTTATTCTTGGAGGATATCCTTGCAAGTATAAGGTAATCATTATGAATACGAAGAAAAGGAAATGCTTATACTCCTACCTTTTTCTTCAACTTAAAACCTTATACTTACAAGGATATCCTTTAGTTTTATGAATACGGCCCATTGTCTGCTGAAATCACATACTCTTATCAAAGTATATGGCTGTAATATACTCGTATTGTATGTTTCTATCCAATGTTGTCAGATGTTACCATTCGCCAAATATGTCACCGATTTTAAAATGTCTATTTGTGTTTGAGAATACGGATAGTGTCAGTCGATCGACATTTTGATAGACATTAGTAGTAGATATTATGACGAATCCGATATTTTTAATAGACATTCGAGAATAGGGCCCCTGATCTACTGCATTTAGTTGTCAAAGAGAAGTAAACCCAAGGTAGTTCACATTGAGAAATTAGCGCCATACCATGGTTCAGATCGACCCCGTCGGCTCCAACCAGATCCCAGTAATCAAGTTATTCAGGGCGTCTAACTAGAGAGGAGGGAGCAATGTTACGCAGCACCCTGCAGTAGCCTGTGGCTATCATAGGAAACGTACAGATAGAAAAAGAAGTGGAATGTTACTTATCGCTCTACACTGTGCTGCGGTCGTCATAAGTAAAAGTACAAGTAAAAGAAAATTCCAGAAATGTCCAGAAATGTCATCACTCGTCAAGAACAATCTAGATGACAGGTCGAGAAGGTTCGAGAAGGTCAAGAAAGCTATATAAGTCGACGACCTGATGTCATCAGTTGTAAAGTTATTGTCAAAGTTGAATTATAGTTATTGTAAAGTTCCGTTGAAATAAATTGTGATATCAAAAACCAGCGTAACAATATTTTTCTAATATTATAATTGGGACAATTAAATTGAAGGAGATTAATTATATCAATGCAGTCTATTTGACGATTAAATATTGTGTGCATAAACATTATATCAGACTTGTCCTATCATACATTTTTGATATGTTCTTCGAGCATTGCTCGAAGGATATGTTACAGTTCTCGACATCTTAAGCAATAGTGTTCCTAGGATCATTCAAATCCTATGTTTGGTTTTTGAGATACAGGGTAGTAAACTTAAGAAATGCCACTTATTTGATAACGGTTATTTCAGGAGGAAGCTAATTTTTTGTACAAAATCTTCAACATCTTTTGGCATTCTACGAATATAAAAAGGGATCAAAAATTATTTTCCATTACAGGGTGGGTCACAAATAAGTAAGGACATGTTTTTGATATATACTCTTATTGTTCTAGAAGGCAAAAATATATAATAAAAAATAAATTATTGCTAAAAAAAACTTAAAAAATACCACTTATTTGATAACGGTTGTTTCAGGAAAAAGCTAATTGGTTATAATTTTTTGTGCCAAATTTTATTGTAACATCCTTTCGCTTTCTACGAATATAAAAAGAGGTTAAAAATTATTTTCCTTTACAGGGTGAGCTACAAATAAGTAAGGACGTGTTTATGATAATTACTTTTATTGTTCTAGAAAGTAAACCTATTAGGTCTGTGAACTTGGCACCACAACATTGCAAAAAAGGAACAAAAGTGTGTGAGACGTTTGCCCATCGTTTGCCCATTATTGCCCATGAAATAACTTTTTTGCTCACCCTCTGTTTTCACATTATATCGAAAAATTTTTTCGCGGGCCAACTTCCGGTCAAAAGTTAAAATTTTTATAATTTAATTTCACGGCATAATAGCATTTCATTTGCCCACGTTTGCCCAGTAATTAGTTTATACAGTTGATATAAAAAAATGGGTTAACATCGAAATGATTCCAAAATAATTGAAAGTTGCTAAGAAATGTATTCTGAGAAATGCCCATTTTTAAAAAAAAAATCCTCGTCCAATAGGTTTGCTAATTTTTTTATATCAAGTAAAAACAGAGAAATGTGTACTATTATCGGAGTTTATGCTCCCCAATTGGACGATGATTTTTTGTAAAAAATGGGCAATCCTCAAAATATATTTCTTAGCAACTTACACTTATTTTTAAATTATTTCAATGTTTACATATTTTTACTTTCCTGTATACAGATATAAGGAAAGTATAGGAATCATGATTTTTTTCGACCTCGAGTTTTCGATGGATTTTTACGTTTTGAGATCCCCTGAATCCGTTTTGACTATTTTCACGATGATTCTCTCTCTCTCTCTCTCTCTCTCTCTCTGTGTGTGTGTGTGTGTGTGTGTGTGTGTGTGTGTGTGTGTGTGTGTGTGTGTGTGTGTGTGTGTGTGTGTGTGTGTGTGTGTGTGTGTGTGTGTTGTGTGTGTGTGTGTGTGTGTGTGTGTGTGTGTGTGTGTGTGTGTGTGTGTGTGTGTGTGTGTGTGTGTGTGTGTGTGTGTGTGTGTGTGTGTGTGTGTGTGTGTGTGTGTGTGTGTGTGTGTGTGTGTGTGTGTGTGTGTGTGTGTGTGTGTGTGTGTGTGTGTGTGTGTGTGTGTGTGTGTGTGTGTGTGTGTGTGTGTGTGTGTGTGTGTGTGTCGCATAACAAAATTTTAAACTTAAGCTTTTTTCCAGCGTCCAATGAGCTGATTAGATTTTGGGCAGAGTCAAAACATCTGGGGGGGTACTTTATAGGTGGTAATTTTTATATTTTATGGAATATATTTGTTATTTATATTTGGGGAAGAAAATTCTTTAAATAAAAGTTACTTCTTATATTATTATCTAAAGTTTTTATTATATACAAAATTTTCCTAAAATGGTCCGTATTCGAGAAATTTGGCAAAATGTAAAAAAATATTTTTTTTATAAAAATTGTTTACACAAAATTTGTTTGTTATATATTTCTCTATAATTTTATACATAATTTCTCTAAAATGGACCTTATTCGAGATATTTGAGAAAATGTGTAAATTTCGAAATTTGAAGAAAACTCAAAAACGGATAAAGAAAAAAACATTAAATTTTAAACTTAAGTTTCATTTCGGCCTGACGTGAAATGACTGGATTTTGGACAAAGTCGGAACATCTGGGGGGTACTTTATGGGGGGCCGTTTTTATATTTTATGGAATATATCTGTTATTTATGTTTGGAGAAAAAAGTAGCTCAAATAAAAGTTATTTCTAATATTATTATCTATAATTCTTGCTTTTTGTCAAAATTTCCTGAAATGGTCCGTATTCGAGAAATTTGACAAAATGTGCAAAATTCTGATTTTTATGAAAATTGTTGAAATAAAAGTTTGCGATATCGATCTCTATAATTTTTGTTTATACATGATTTTTCTAAAATGGACCGTAATGGAAAAATTGTAGGAAATTTAAATTTTTCAGCATTTTCGTTTCCAATGAATATCTATAAAAAAATGTTTCGAGGTAGATGTATGTGGAAAATGTATATATATAGTTTATCCTCTATTCTATTCTATTCTATTTAACATTTATAGAAGTGCTGCAATAGGTTGTACAAAATAACCGGAAAGAGCCTGTAATAACTAGATAGGAGAGTCATGTGTTGGACACATCAGATTTTTTTTAGTTGAATCTTAAAACACTTTTCTTACTATTTAAAATGCTTTATATTCAAGATTTTATTGTTTTATAGACTAGCAGTTTTTTTTTACGTCCATTCCAATCTTTAATCAAATTATAACTTAAAATAGCACTTTAAAGTTGATAGCTAAGAAAGCTGGGAAAAAATTAACACTGTTACAATGTTATATTTATGTGAAGGAAACAAAATCTACCTGGTAAATTGATAATGCTGCAGATTATTTATCATATAACGTCACTGCCTTCTTATCGTAAAAATACGTTAGTACAAATTCAGGGTATAACACTAAAAATTGAATTAGTTGTATCGAAATCCAGAAGCTTTTTCAGGTCGTTACGTACATTTTTTCCTCGATTTAAATAAATTTGTGCAGTGTTTAGAATCGGACCGGGTCGTCCGGGCACCGTATAAATATTCATTAGCGTAGCACCGGACTGGATTTTGTATTTTTTAGAACCTGTTGACCGTTCATGCTCGAAACGAAATAAAGGTATTTAATGATTTATACCCTACTACAAAAAATTATACATGTAGTGAATGTTGATTATCATTTAGGACCGGAGGTCATTTCGAGCAACCGGAGGGTTGGAGTGTATAAGGGACAGTAACACAAAAGGGACATAAATAGCTGAGAGACACGATTAATTTTTAAAGGCACAAAATAAGGTTATAGACGTTAAAAATACAGCGTTCAATTGTATTTTTAGATGCCAGTCGAACGTTGTTTTTAAAAATATAACCTGAAGAGGTTATCTGTTATTTTTAATTGAAAATTAATTTATGTTTCCAATATTTATTACTAAAACTTGGTCGAGTTTATTTAAATATTTTTTGTTCAAGGTGCAAAATGAAAAATAAAATTATATGGCATTAGATGCAGACTTTAATTTTGAAAAATTACGAGTACAGGGTGTCTGATTAAGGACTCGTAGCGGCTGTATCTCAGAAACTATTGATCCTACGGCTTCGAAAAAAAAATTTTTATGAGAGAAAATGCTGGAAATTATTTTGAACTTTCTATTTTAACCGTTAGAGGGCGTAATTCGCTATAGTAATTCAAAAAAATCACTTTTCCCCTATAAATGTCTAATAATAGTATGATAATAATAATCGAACGGTAATTTTGATTAAATTTTACAAAAGTTTTATTCAACACTTTTTGCTCTATTTAATTTAATTTAATTTAATAAATGTATTATAACTACGGTGTCGTTTATCAGATTTTGAAAAACTTTATATCGATTAAAAAAAAATTGATTTTTTAGTAAAATATTTCAAAATAGTTCTGATTCAGTTGTTTAAAAGAGCACTAGGTGGCGTTGTTTAAGCAGTAACCATTTTTTTGA